TCCGTCCGAGGGGCCGGGGGCGGCGGGGTTCGCCGGCGGGCCCAAAGGCTCCGCCGTGCAGGTGTGGGCAGCGGCGGAGCTCCGACGCGAGCCGCCCCCCCCACACACACTGGCTGCGGGGCGCTGGGAGGGGGCTGCGCCCCTCGCCCGCCTCGGGATAGTGAAGCCGATAGTCGCGACAGGTGGTCTCGGGGCGTTCGCCGGGGAAGCAGTGGGCAGCTCCCACCTGCGGGCCTGGGGAGGGATAAACTGGGCCGTGTGCCGTGGGAAAGGGGGTGGAACACTAAGTTTTTAGCAGTAAGTTGGCCGTGGAAAGTTTTGCGGTTGAGCACTAAACGAAAGGCTGCTCCGACGCCTGGCCCTGCCCTAAATTGGGAACATCATTAACGCGTTTCTTCTGGGGATCTTAACAGCACTGTACAAACATGAACGGTGCCACCTGGAGAATCCGGGATACAGATGTCAGTGTCCTCATTTTGCAGACAGCAAGTACGGGTATCTTAAACGATTTACCCAAATCGGTGCTGATACGTCTATGGCAGGGCCGGGATTCCAGTTTACCGTTTTCAGCATCATCGAGTTCCCAGTGCGACCTGGAGTGCTGTTTCCCCGTTTCCCTCACTGACATGGAAGCCCACGTGATGCAGCTGGTTTCGTAGCGCAGCGCGTGCTCCCGCTGCCCGTCCCTTGCTCGCTGGAGGCGCTGGAAATGTCAGGCCTACGGGGCTGTCGTCTTCCTGCTTCTCTAAACCCTGGGGCTCTGTGGTCTGACCACCCAAGGTCCTGCCGAGGCTCGTGCCTCGTGAGAATAAGCACTCGGTACAGCTGACCTTGCTTTCCTGTGTGCCCTGGCCTCTCCCATGGGAATGGCCGCTGCGGCTCTCCATGGGGTCGTGGTGCTTGTGCACTTAGACAACATTTTGGGCACTCCAGAGCAGGGCCGGAGCCAAGGTCCTCCCAGCCGGGAAGACCCCGGGTTGGATGCCCTGTGCCTGCAGTTGGAGGGGTAGGGAAGAAACGGCTGCCTGGAGCCCTGCACCGGGGCGGCAGCACCCACCCACTCCCTGCAGGGAGCAAGCACAGCAGCCAGCGGAGCACAGGGGCTCAGCGTGACCCTCGTGCTCAAGACCCATAGGGGCCACCGACCCTCCTGTGGGACTCCCCAGTCCTACAGAATTACCTTCCCCTAAATGAACAAAGACGGTGCTGTCACGTACCAGAGTTAGTGTCAGAGACAGATGTCACAGGGCACCCAGCTACAACCAAGAAGCGTTTCCCCATTGGGTGCTTTCATATATTGATCCCCACTGTGATGAAGCCTGAGAAAAGGAGATCACGCAGGCAGCTGAGCTTTGCCAGGATCAACAGCCAGAAGGATTGGAGTGGGAGCCTGCTTGCGCTCAGGCATGTACTAAAATAACAGAAATGCCTTAATTCGTACCTTTGGTTATTTTGGTGCAAGTCCTTGTAGGGATGCCTAGGTTAGAACAAAAGCATTCTATTTTAATTTAGTGTAACTATAGCCAGTCTACCTCAAAAAGCTGGATTGCTTTAACAATACTGTTGCAGCTAACTCCCCAGAGTATGGATGCAGTTGTGCTGGGATAATGCTAATATGGCTTATTCTTGTCAGGAAAGGGAAAAACATTACGTGTGTAGGTGCAGGCTCGCTTTGCAAACAGCTGCAGCTGTTTGAAAGGTTACCACCACAGCAGCCTGTTGCCACACTTGTTCCTGGGATTGCTCCCTCCATAGCAGAGTCCTAAAGCCTACGTGCTCCCCAGCCACCTGCCTGCAAAGTCACGGCGTTTAATTCAGTATTAGGCAGCTTCAGCCCAGCAGATGTTTCCCTGAAAGGAGTGAGAAGCCTTTGCATGGCTGCTCAGCTGTAATGGTCGAGGGGGCTCCAAGCTATCTGTAGTGTGGTAATATCTCGAGCACCGATGCTGTTTCAACATTGAATCACATAGCTTGGGGTAGGAGTGATACAGGTAACCAATCACATCCCTGATCAAAATCAGGTACCAGTCCCAGTACCAAAAATAGGTATAGGTCCTTCTTTTCCTTCAACTGAGCCAAGAGGAAAATGGGTGAATAGCAGAGAGACTTGTGTCCCTTCTTCTGAATTGGAAACAAATTGCTTCAGTGCAGCTTTGAAGGTAGTCAGGATCTACGCAAGACAAGGAATAACATCTTCAGTCATTTCTGAAGGACTGCATGGAGCATGGAGATTAGATGCTGCTATGTCTGATGCATTTGCTCCCTACTGCTCTGTGCAGGGGGCAGAGGCACATATGCAGCCCAGCTTCTCATTTTTATTCTGCATGGTTCTAAGTGTATACATAGCTGCATCTTGACACAAGGCAATGCTAACAAAAGGCACGTACAATGAGAAAAGGTATGGCTTTTGGGGCTCTAGTTCCTCTGAGAGTTTATTCTTCAGGCTCCGAGCAGCATCCAAGAAAGTTGTCTCCCACACACATGAGCTTTGATAGAAAGGCCTGTTGTGCCTGAGGAGCAGAGCTGTCAAGAGGAGTCTCCATCTCCATGCCCAGATGCTTGTTACCCTTCTCCTGCCAGAGCCCAGCAGTCGGTAGTTTTCCATCTCTAGAAATCCAGAGCAACTTTCCACCTCAGGGAACGAGAAGTTGGAGAAAAATCAATAGACCAGACTGGGTTCATACCACATTTATGCAAGGAAAGAAGTAAAAGGAGTACTATAATTAAATTTTAACTATATTTTGCTCTCAGCAGCATCCCATAAATCATGTACCTTGTTAGTACTGTGGAATGGCATGTGATGCGGGAAGTCAGCATACGGTAAACATGCTGACGGTAAATACAGTAAACACTCTACACTAGTCGGCTTTGGCCATCTTGGTAAGTGTGTCATGACAGCAGATAAATTTCTGTCCATTTTGGACAGTGTGCCAAGTGAAGATGAGCGGATGTACTGTGATCTCTGATGCCAGGATGGAACATGACCCACCTGAGGGCACAAGGATGCCTGAGCAATGTCGCTTCTTATTTGCAGTGACGAATGGTGAATCCATAGCCCGTATCGATGCTGTGATGAGAATTCGTTAAGAGAAAAGATGCACAACCACAAGGAAAACTCCTGTAGGTGGGAGATGAGAGGGTGGGCGATAGGCACTGGGTGACAATCTGTTTGAACAGCATTGAAAGATGATGTGAGAAAGCTCTTCATGCAAATGCTGCGAGCAAAAAATGCCACGTGCACATTTTTAAACACCTTCAGTAGACAAATACAGTCAATGCATTGAGCTAAGTAGGCTCCAGCGAGATAGCTATAACGGGCTGCATTGTTTCTGTGCTCGGGGAGGGGGGCGTGAGTGGACTCAGAGCTGCATGGTTGCCCTATAGTGTAATGTAGCCTACCAAATACAGTAGCCTTTTGTGTAAAAGGATGAGCTAACCGGTTGTTTTGCAGAGGGGGGGGCCGTTTGCACCACAGCAGCAAGTCGGAGCAGCTCCCGGGCAGGCGTGCTGGCGGTGGGCTGAGGGTGCATTGATGGAGGGATGCTGTAACAGATAGCCGCTGTCTCTGAAGCTTTTGGCCTCAACCCTATCACACACACACATCTTACAGGTTTGAACCCAATTGTTTTCAGAGCTCTGAGCTGGGGGATAAACAGGCTTAACTCCACGTAGGTCAACAGGGTGGCAGTTGTCTGTCTCAGGGCTGAATTTGGCACATTATCAGCCAGTTCACAGAAAAGCTCTTGCTCTATCTTACATGCTTGTGTTAGTCAAATATTATTCTTTGAGA